ACAGAAATCCACCCTGCAGTTGATCCCTACGAAGATCCGCCTACATGTTTTTTTTTCGAAATAGAACATCTGTCATGGTCTATCTTAATGCGTAGTTTTTCTATCTATCTATCTATTGTCTCCCTACATGTTTTTTTTTCGAAATAGAACATCTGTCATGGTCTATCTTAATGCGTAGTTTTTATGAGTTCTTTTCCACAAAATGTCAGAATTTTCGAAAACGGTTCTTCAAATACAAAAGAATGTCGTTTTCCTATCAGCAAAAAGTAATAGGCCTACTGTGTGTTGTGCAAGGTTTTGACGCTCAACCACCGTAGTATATATATCCACCAAACTATTTTGAATCCCTGTAATGACGCATGTCAGCTAGATCTGTGTATTTTTAGGCCACACTAAAAGTAAAGTATGTTAAAAATATGATTTCATTATGAAACCGTGGACCTTGATTTCAAAAATGTATGAACTCGAATCAGAAAACGTAGAAAAGTATTGCCGACTTGCGGAAATTAAAGATATCAGTAAAAATGCTTTTAAAAAATGGGGGAGCGAGTTGTTCCATAATTTTTATTCTCTATTTTCAGACAATTTAATAAGTACACACGCGCTCAAGCTCACACATTTTGGCGGTCAAAAGCCAAAATTGAAATAAAATAAACACTCCTCCTCGACTGACTGATTAAGTCTCCGGCACTAGCAGGATATGACGTATACACGGACGGCTTTCTGCGTGATTTTCTGTCCCCACCCGTTCCCACTGATTACTTTTGCAATACGATCTGAGTGAACTAATCAAAACCAACGTCACCTTCTCTTACAGGAGTGCTGAAGATCTTGAGTGGAGTGGAGTGCAGTGTTTCGTCTCTAATCCAACTTTTTGAGTTGCCATTTACTTTTTTGTGTATTAATATATTTCGTTTATGACACGTCATTTGGGGTTTTTTGTCTGGATTTTGAACTTCTTCTACATTGGATGACATTTTATAACACCCGCTCATGCTGATTTAAACACAATCGATGAATAAATAATTCGTTTTGAAATATTATGAGGTTTGCCATAGACACGCTTCGTTTTGTGTTGCTCGCCTCTTTACCCGTAAATCTTTTAATTATTGTTTTCTAAGCTCTTACATTACAGTTGTTGTTTTTTGTTACCTACATGCTTTATTGTCACGTTCATTTCTTACAGTGTCATTTTCATTTCTTGCAATGGCAGTACATATAATATTAGTAAATTAGTTTACAAAATATAATACTCTCAATTTTTTTCTACTTATGGTGCGGGCATAAACATTGAATAACGATGTTTCCTTTGAAAGTACATAGAGGATTGGTTGGGGGGGGGAGTTGTTTTGCTTTGTTTGTTTTTAATGCGGAGACTGAACATTTAGAGCTAACTGAGTGTGTCGAGCATCATACCGGTATGATTTCTGAACAATAGTCTATATACTATTCTATTTTTTTACTGTGTTCGTAGAAATATGCTATAGCATCCTCCTCTTTCCAAACCCTGTAATAATTATATGCGGGAAATTTAAATAATGGGTTGTCATTAACGATTTTTTTGGTTAGTACGCGTTCCGATAAGGGAGTCGATCATTTTTTTTACTCAACTTGCAAGTGTTTCCTATGAGTGCAAATTCCGTTTGTATGCACTTGATTGATTTGTGCTATGAAGTTGCTGTTGTTTTGATCACTTAACTAACGTATAACAATTCTCCCCCCCCCCCC